CAAAAAGCTGATTAGTCTCGCTCAAAATTTTGGGGTTTCTCTTATGCAAGACAGAGCTGCACACATTTGTGACTCTGATTTTACTAAACACCCTACTATCAATTTTTAAGCAGAAAATTCTATTAATATCAAAGGAGATTTCTGCTCAAAAACTCATGGCACAACCTTTTCACTTCATTACTACTTAGCTTTTGCTTCCTGTAACACCCACAATTTGGTACATTATGAACAAAAGCAAAGAAAAGCAAAGTTCTTGCCCCATGGAGCATATACTTGAAAAAGCATTTCAGTGGAACTGCTCACTGGGTAGGCTATATTAAGTTTTTCTAGGGAACATGATTTATTTGCTAGAATAGTTACTTACAAAACAATGTTACCTGAAAAAATACATGAGCAAGCCTTGTGGTGGTATTAATTATTCAGCTTTTATCATGTATTCTTGTTCTGTGCAATTTGCATGCAAATTACTTTTTATTATGAAAAACATCACTTTTAATGTGCTATACTGTGCCATTGTTTTTAAAAGAATCCCCAGTTAAAAGGTGTCATCAAGCCCTGTATTTATTTTACATGCATTTTTATGCTCTGATCTTGCACACATTATGCATATGATTGTTCAGTCATAAGCACCAGAGTAAACACACTGAGTTCAGTGGAACTATTCACGTAATTAGAGTTATTTATGACCATAAGTGGGGTTTGCAGGATCAGAAACTCAATGAGTATCGAATATTGCAAATCAGGAAGGCCAGAACATTCAGAAACTAACAATTTTACATTGCTTTTTTTATTAATTCAGAACAGTATAGACCCTGTTTAGCCATGTGCAAACTGGTGCCAAATTTCTGTTAGTTGCAATAAAATGAAAAGCAGGAGGTTCACAACAGAAACAGCAGCAGATATACTCCTCTATAATGCTGCTACAAGCCATCACAGTTACAGTTTACAAACTCAGCTCTGCTGTGTGGCTGAGTGTGGAGACGTGGTCTGAAGGTTAAAATAATCTCAATTAAAGCCAAGATGCTCTTCTGACAGTTAATTGGTTTACGGAACAACCCCAAAAGTATTGTGGTTCTTTCTTCTTCACTTTTTTCTTTTTTTCAGAAAAAGAAGTATGAATGCAGGATAATGCATCATTTATAAATTACCTCTTGTTAGTGCACAAAACAAAACAGTGCTTTGAAAACAAAACAAATTCCTGCT